TTTCTCCCTCACATCCGCACCACAACTGGCACCGCCTTCCATCACCTCCGGAATATCGCCAGATTACGGCACTACCTCACCCCTCACGCTGCTGAAACCCTGGTTCACGCCTTTGTCACCTCAAGGCTGGACTATGGGAACTCTCTCCTCGCCGGCCTTCCCGGCACCTCCCTCCACAAGCTGCAGGTCATTCAGAACTCTGCAGCTCGTGTACTGTCCCGCACCAGGCTTCGGGACCACATCACTCCCACCCTCGCTCGCCTCCACTGGCTCCCCATCCCCCAGAGGATTGATTTCAAGATCCTCATCCTCACCTACAAGGCCATTCACGGCCTTGCTCCCTCCTACCTCTCCAACCTACTATCCCCCTACCTACCTGCCCGTACCCTCCGTTCCTCTGGCTCCGGTCTGCTCCACGTCCCCCGCCCCAACCGCCCTACTATCGGTGGTCGGGCCTTCAGCCTCTCAGCCCCGAGGCTCTGGAACTCCATCCCCCAGTGCCTTCGCCTTGCTTCCTCCCTTTCCTCCTTCAAGGCCGGTCTCAAAACCTTTCTCTTTGACCGTGCCTTCAGCTCCCCTCTCGACTCTCTTCCTCCTCCTCGCTCCCTCCCTTCCCTCCCCTCACCCTGACCATTTCCCCCCTCCTCTTTCCCTCCCTTCCCTCCCCTCACCCTGACCATTTCCCCCCTGCTCGGGTCATGACGCAACTGTGCAGCGCCTTGGGACGTCCTCCTGATGTGAAAGGCGCTCTATAAATGGAATCTTGTTGTTGTTGTTGTTGTTGTTGTTTTCGTCTGATTTTAAAAAAGCATATTTTTCTACTTCCAATAAAAACATATTTTGCTGGGAGTAAGTCACATCGTGTACAATACATTTGATAATGGTGTAACTTAGGCAAGTTTCCTTATCATGCCTACGGGTTGTTTCCTCTAGCCTCCGCCATGCTTGTGAGCTAAGAATGCTTCGTTGATCGCTCTGCTTTCAGTCTTGGTGGCTGCTGTCCCTGACCTGAATGCCCCTTCCCAAAATGCCCCCTCTCCTACACCCCACACTTCATTACTCCCACTCAGTCCTTCTCTCCTATCGCCACATCACCACCACTCCCTCCCTTGTCTTCTTCAAGGCGCATCTCAAATTGCTCCTCTTTGACCGAGCCTTCCTGCCCTCTACCCACCCCGATCCTGACCAAAGCTCGGGTCCAAATCCCTGACGTCCTCCCGACGTGAAAGGCAATATCCAAATGTAATACAATATGTAATTTTGTGTTGTATTGTACTGTATTTTGGGGCTAGGGGATACAACCCGTAAGCATGGTGGGGCAAGAGAAGAACACTTAGCCTGGAAAGTTTATAAAACAGTGCGCAGAAGTGACGTCACGAGGGCGGTTTGGGCCATTGTTCCAGGCGGGCAATTTTGAAATGGCGTCTCCTCGCCTGGAACCTCCTCGCCTGGACAGCAAACCCTCGGCCCCGCGTCGCTCACTGCCTGTTGGCTCACCCGAGGTCTCCTCTCTGATTGCTCCGACTGCCCCTCTTGCTTGCTCCCCCACCTCGCCCGCCCCACCAATGGTGGGCAGGCCTTCAATCTCTCTTCCCCCACACTCTGGAACTCCATCCCACAGTCCCTCTGCCTCGACCCTCCTTCATGATCCGCCTCAAGACCCTCCTCTTCCATCGTGCCTTCAGGCACCCTCCTACCATTATCCTCCCTGCTTTCCACCCCTCCTATTTCCAACCACTAGGTTGGGTGTGGATCCCTGACTGTCCAGCACCTTGGGACGTCCTCCTGAAGTGAAAGACGCTACACAAATGTAATTTATTGTTGTTGTTACATTCAGCTACACAAATACAAGAACTACAGAATAAATCCCATTGAGCGCTTTGAGATATCCTCCCAATATAAAAGGTGATATATCAAATGCAAGGATTATTTTAGCAGTTATTTTAAGTGCTGTGAGATGCTGCATCACATGAAGGGCGTTATATAAATAATAGTAATTGTCGCATTTGATGCAGCCTTTATCATGTCATTGATACGTCTCAAAATGCTTCACAGATTATACTGTAAAGTGATTTGACTATATTTTGTGGGCAAAATGTGGCAGCTAATTATGAACAGCAGTGACCCACAAAATGCCATGGATTGAGTAACCAATTTCTTTTAAAAGGGATTATTACCCCCGGAAAGTGATCCCCCAATTAACGAACAACTGGGTTCCTACTTACTACTAAATAAATAGGAGTGTGGAATAAAGAAACTTGCCTAAGGAATCAAACCAGGATTCTTTCACTTGTGAGGCAAGTGCTCTAACCAATATTCTATAGACTGCATAACCAAATGCAAGGATTATTTTATTATTTGTAGTGGCATTTTGAGACTACCCAACAACGCATTAGAAAGTTATAGTTCACTCATTGTAAATTTTATGTTTTGGGGGCAGGCTCTTTAAGATCCAAAATTATTATTTGTCAAATTGGAAGAAAATTCCGTATTAGATAAATAATTGCTTCATGCCCATGTAACAATCTGGAAATGTCAAGGTACAAACCAAATGAGGTACCAGTTTCCACCCCTAATGCAGACACCCAGTGTTAGATGCTAAGTATGAGCAGGAGGAGATAGCCTCCTTATACCCTGCAGATTAACATAATCAGGCTTCTGAGGAAGGACCTAAAGAAGAGTATCTTGAAACATTCTTATCTTCTCCCATACTTTGACTATGCTGGGTGAGACTGGAATTTCTAGAGTATGGGGAGTGATAACAAGACTTAGGAGCTTTAATGCAGTATCTACAACTGACTCAGTACTAAATGAACTTTTCAAAAAGTGATCCCTCACTGATCTTCACTTCTCACATGGAATGTAGAACCTTGAGAATATAGGACTTTTAGCATTTTCTAACTAAACTCTCTGAACTTTTGTATTGTGAAACTTTGCCCTGCTACAATTTGGTACGTGAATGATTACTCACTTTGTTGAATTGCGAAAGCTCCATTTAATCATTGTAGTTTAGCTTCAGTGCAAATACCCATGCCTTCTGCGAAACATTTGTATCTTCCTGTTTTTTGAGACTATTCAAGTTAAACAAATGTCTAGGAGTGACCTAGACCTTATTTTGTGCAACTGCTTGGCTTTGTTGTGACAACTGAGCTCCAAATTCTGTTTTTTTTTGATCATTATACAAACCAAACTCAGAATTCCATATAGAAATTCCAGAATTCATAAAATTATATTAAGCTCTTTATAACATTTCTAAAATTATATTAAAATGATATTTATAAAATTATATTAAGCTCTGAATAACCTTGTGTTCATCATATTTGTGAATGGAATGTCATCTTGGAACCAGTTCAGCTCCAACAAGACCCCGTTTACCTCCCGCCCAAAGAAGATAGTCACTAGGTGGTCATTTGACATCTGACAAGCGCGGGTTTGCCCCTTACTAGGTGAATGGTAGGTACCAGGAACTCCCTGTGAGCTTCACTGTGAGCAACACAGCTCGGCATTGTTACCATCTTCCTGTCCGCAGCTCGGGCACAGCCTGCCCCTCCCAGCTCCAAATTCTATGTCTTCTGCACATTCAGAATATTCTATCTAATCAGTGGATCTTGATTTACTCACACTGAACTATTTCTTTATGATTTCTGTTAAGATTTCTCAAAGTGCTTCACAGGTTTTAATAATAATAATAATAATAATCCTTGCATTTGATATAGCGCTTTTCACGTCAGGAGGACGTCCCAAAGCGCTTCACAGAACACACTGTAAAGTGTAGTGACTGTATTTGTAACTGAATATTTGTAAGTTGATATGTTAATTAGAAGCGCTGGCTTTGTTCATGATGGCCATGTACCCAAAGACAACATTAACTGCATACCTTTGCAACCATAATTCATTGCACAGAAGCGAGCTATCTTTTCTTATATGTTTGATTATTTTTCAGCGTTTGGTTATATATATACAGTGGAAGCCACTTTAGCTGAATGCCAGTTCAACCCGGACGTCGTGACAATTGGACAAAATGCCCAGCCCCAATTCATTCGTACTCTCACCTGTTTTAAATATGCTGGTTAATTAAGACAAAATACCACGATTTAGCGCCACTGCAGCTCCTCACTCACCATGAACAGCTCTGCTGGGATTGAGATGGGAGGATTAAAATTGTGATTGATGGACAGCTGGAGCTGCTTGTGAATGGATGGAATACCCATCCATTCGCAAATAGTTTCAGACTGTCAATCATCTTGGAGTTGCTGCTAATTGACCCCCTTCTCATGCAAAAGGAAAGGCAATGGGAAGGTGGAGGCTCCACTGTCATTCCTCTGCTGGGTGGGAAGAGTTAAGAGAATTTCGGCTAACCTCAGACGCCGTTTAAGCTGGACAAAACGGTCGGCCATGATGTGTTCGGTTTAAGCGGCTTCAACTGTATATACATGTGTGCACAGACTTCACATAGTAAGTAAAAGAATTAAAGACATAAAAATGGAAGGTTGTACAAAGGATCTCTTTTGCTTAGCAAAACAATATTTTTTCTTCACAATACAGAAACAGACAATTAGGCAGGGCTCTCGCTCTCTCACTCGCTCGCTAAGTTCCTGTTCCACCATTGTTAACTGTTGGGTTTATTTTATACAAACACACACATAGCGTTTGAGAGTTTTCAATTTGAAACATGTCACAGAGGGATAGGTCAGAAGATATAACAGAAGGAGTGGGATTGTTGGAGGAGTAATCAAGGGAGTGGGATTTTCAACATTAGTCAGCAGGACTGTAGTTAAAATCATTAGGTTGGCAAGAACTCTTGGATATTAATAACCTAATTTTAAGCCCATGTCCAAGAGGAGAGAAGGTGTAAGTGACACAAAAAACCCTTGTCATTTAATGAATCTTGAGCCAATGAAACCTCCACAGTGCTGACATAAAACCTAGGGGAGGTTCAAATTATTTCTATTAGTGTTAGAATTCTGACACTGATCCATTAGTGTTCAGATTCTGACACAGATAAATTAAGCACCGGTTGATGTGAAGACCTACTTTCTAATTGAACTTCAAACATCTTCACAACAGTGAGAAAAAGTTGTGGAATTGCTAAAAGTGTTCAGGAAATGCTATCATCAAGCTATGAGCTATAAACTCCTGAAAGTGAGGACATTTTAACATTTTGCATGGATTGTATTTGAAGAGTACACATTTTGAAATTGTACAAGAAGGAAATGCAGGATTATGATGAAGTTACTTCTTTCCTGGGAGAGTGGGGATCCTTCCAGAAAACTGTTTTCTTTTTGTTGAGTGCTTCAGTTATTTTGAGTGGCCACATGTGTTTGTCTATGGTGTTTCTGGCAGACACCCCTCAGCACCACTGCCGTCTGCCTGACTCTCTGAACAGAACCACTGGAGAAGCTAATCTGAGTTCACTGCTGCCTGTAGAGGAGGTGGATGGTGAGATGATCTACAGTCGATGTAGAAGATACAAAACTCCTGCAACAGATGCTTTAAATGCCACAACACGTGAGACTGAGCCCTGTGTGGATGGCTGGGAGTACAGCACCGAAAGGTACATCTCTACTATTGTCTCTGAGGTACAAAAAAATTCTGTGTATCTTTCAATGTTTCAGTGGTGCAGTCAGGTCAAATTAAAATACTGACTTCAGAAGGATTACTTTATATAGAGTCCTTCATGCAGGATCACATCTTGGAGTGGTGCTTAACAAAACAGTATCATTACATCTTGAGAATAAGTGGAATTACAGCATCCACAGGCAAAGATTTAGCACTAAAATATTGACTAAAATGTACAAAATGTTATCAAATTTTAAAAATTATCAGCTGCTCATTCTTTTACTTGAAAACACTTCACATTTTTGACATTAATAGCACATTTTGCCACCATTTAAATGTTGCCTCAGTTGATAGCATTCACTCTCCAGACCTGGTGTGCAAATTTTAATGCCAGTAACGTTTAGCATAATTTTAGAATTTCTGACATCAATCCACAAGGAAGGGAGTTTCCCTCAGGGTACTGGCTAACAATCCCTCAAATAAGATTTGTCATTCACTTCATAACTGTTCTTAGCACATTACTGTGCACATATTGGCTGCCAAAATTGTTTACAAAAATATACAGTCAATTCACTTCATAATATACCCTGTGAAGCTCTTTGAGATGTCCTCCCGACATGAAAGGCACTTTATCAAATATAAGGATTATTATCTTGTAAGATTTACAAATTAAATCAAACCATTTATTTCATTCCTATAAGAACAATGATCTAGGTCTTACCAATGCAAATCTGACCACCACCTTATATGTTTAATTGTGATTTTCCACGACTCCGAGGTGTTTCGGCAAATACCATAACCATTAATAAATAAAAACAAATAGCACTAAGAACCAGTGATGGATTGAGGAAATAAATTATTTACACACAAAGAAATTCATGTGTACAAGTGAATAATACAAAAATTTTAATAAAAAATTCACAGTTATCTATAAATTATAAATCAGGCAAATAGAAAGCGTGAAATAACAACAACAACTTGGATTTATATAGTGCCTTCCATGCCGGATGGCGTCTCAGAGCACTTCACAGTAATGGATCCCGGGGCCGAGCTGGGGGGAGGGGGGGTGAAGGTGACCAAATGCGCGATCGAAAAGAAAGGTCTTCAGCAGAGACCTGATAATATGAAGGCAAGGCGAACGGAGTGAAGAAGGGAGTTCCAGAGCCTCGGGGCATAGTGGTTCAAGGCACGGAGGTCTCGGGAGACAAGGAGGAGGCCAGACCCGGAGGAACGAAGGCAACGGGCACTGTTTTGAGGAGAGAGGAGGTCAGAGAGGTAGGGGGGTGCAGAGGAGTGGAGGGATTTGAAGACAAGGGTGAGGATCTTGCAGTCGATCCTCTGGGACAGGCAGCCAGTGCAGTCTGGCAAGGACTGGGGAAATTGGGGAATGGAGTTTGGTGCGGGTGAGAATGAGGGCGGCAGAGTTTTGTATAACCTGGATTTTATGGATGGTAGTGGAAGGGAGACCAGCGAGGAGGGCATTAGAATAGTCCAGCCCAGAGGTGACAAAGGCATGGACCAGGGTTTCAGCGGCTTTCGGAGAGAGCTTTTGGTGGAGAGGGGTAATGTGTCAGAGGTGGAAGAAAGCGGTGCTGGTGAGAGACCAGATGTGGGGGAGGAAGGATAATTGGTGGTTGCACCTGATGCTTAGGTTGCGTACGGGTTCGGAGAGTTTTAGGGGGAGGTCAGGTAGGTGGAAGAGGTGAGAACTGTGAGATTTTAGTTGTTGATGAGAGCCAAAGAGTATGGCTTCCGTCTTGTCAATGTTCAGCTGAAGGAAATTTGCGCTCAAGAGGAAGCATGTAGATCAAAAAGAGGAGGGGGCCAAGTATGGATCCTTGGGGTACCCCGCAGGTGACCGGGTGAAAGCGGGAGGAGAAGCCATTTGTGCAGATATACTGCTGGTAGTTTGAGAGGTTGGACTCGAACCAGGCGAGTGCGGTCCCACTGAAGTGGATGACGGAGGAAAGGTGGTGGAGGAGGATGGCGTGATCGACAGTGTCGAATGCAGCGGAGAGGTCCAGGAGGACAAGGAGGCAGAGGGAGCCCTGGTCACAGATAGAGAGGATGTCATTTGTGACTTTCAGAAGCATGGTCTCTGTACTTTGCGCAGGGCAGAAACCGGACTGGAGGGGTTCGAAGAGTCAGTGGGAGGAGCGTTGTGCGCTTGCAATTATTTTACTATTCCCTCTCCTCCGGATCAGTCCCTGCCCCCCTCAAAACTGCTGTCATCACCCCCCTCCTTAAAAAATCTTCCCTAGATCCCTCAAACTAGAAAAGAGTCAATGAGTCCATGAGAGAGAGTGTAAAGTGACATCTTGAACCCATTTATCCTGTTTGCTTCAATATCTTTCCCTGGCAATATATTCCCATAACCGTAATGCCCTTTGATTAGAAATGCTCTGCCTTCTTTTTCTTAATGTTTTTACGTAGTGCCTCTTGGTGTTTGAAACCTTCAGTGTTGATTTGCAACAATGCGTTCTAGGACTTTTGCGAGGAAGGGCAGGTTAGAAATAGGTTGGTAGTGGCTGAGGTTTGAGGGATCTAGGGAAGATTTTTTGAGGAGGGAGCTACTGACAGCAGTTTTGAGGGGGGGCAGGGACTGATCTGGAGGAGAGGGAACAGTAAAATAAATGCAAGCGGTAAAGCAAATTAGAGAATGGAAGTGTATTTTGCTGGAATTGGAATCTGGTAAAGTTATTCAGTGCTTACTGGAAGGAACGTGGTTCTTTTCCATGAATATTAATTGCTATCACTTCTTCTGTCTAATTTATCAACTCTCCCTTGTGACTCAGTAATAATGTATGCCAACTAGCAAGAAGTACCCACAAAGCTGGACTGTTCATTCACATCTTGGTGTGAACAGGATTGGCAGCCTATGAAATAAAATGCAAACTAGAAAAGAGTCAATGAGTCCATGAGAGAGAGTGTAAAGTGACGTCTTGAACCCATTATCCTGTTTGCTTCAATATCTTTCCCTGGCAATATATTCCCAAACTGTAATGCCCTTTCATTAGAAATGATCTGCTTTCTTTTTCTTAATGTTTTTACGAAGTGCCTCTTGGTGTTTGAAACCTTCAGTATTGAGAGCAATATACATAAAAATTGTTAATCGCTTTCAATATACTGAGGCTTCATTTAGGGCATTTTCTAAAGAGAACAGGTCCTCCTTGTGGGGGGAGGTAAGCAGGTTCAACATGGAGCTTATCTGGTGATGTGCTTGGCAACAGAATATTGGAATCAAGTCAATCTTTCATGGTGGTCTCAGTCGTTTTGGTCCTAAGCCAGGCAGGTCCACAGTACTCCAAACAGCCTGTTCATTGGTAGGACTTGGAGGATCAGACCAGTCGTTCACTGGGAGCATGGGTTCTTTCCACTTATTTCTTATTAAACCTACAAGCTAAAGCCCTGTTTACGCCCCCCATCCCAACTCTAAGTTGCTGATCTTTCAGTTTCATTCTTGAACAAACTATAACACAGACTTTGCGTACATTTCAGCAGGAAACCTGGAGTTGTTTCGTTCACCCTCAAAAGTGCAATTTTCACTTCAAGGATGATTTTGAACAAGTTGAAGAGGTTTACAGCGGTGAAGAGCATACTGATTTCCAGCTTCACCCCTCAATTGTAAAAAGCTTCCGCCGCATTGACAAACTTTACAAGCAGAGGGAAGCTTGCCAGACAGCTTGTTGTGTTTGAGGTTGCATCCAGCAGTGGAACTAACCACTCTATTTAGCCTGGGATAAAAGGTTCGGCCAGAAAAGACCAGCTTAATTCTGTTTCACCAAAATATAAATTGGAATCCCGAGAACAGGTTCATTTACAGATTGGTGTGAATAAGACTGGCGCCTATCAAATAATAATAATAATGATCTTTGCATTTAATACAGCACCTTATCACGTTGTTGAGATGTCACAAAGCGCTTTACAATCCATTGAAAAGTGGATTGATTGTGTTTTGTGAGCATAACACAGCACTGTGTTGCGCACAGCAATGTGCCACAAACATCTTAAATTACAACAGAGAAGCAAAAGTCATTTGTATTCTGTGCTTAATAACTTATTTAATGACTAAGGCAAAAAGACATAGAGCTTTGCATTGATTCAATAAATAGGTTACAACATGTAGATTTGCAATAATATTGTGCCTTTAAGCTCAGGTATAGTATGTCACAGTGGTATGAATATTAAAATTCATAGGCAGCAGACAAAATTCTCCTGTTTTATTTTGGGAACACTAATAATAGCGGATGCTGAGTTTCTTGCCACTGTGTTCTTGTATCATTGATGTCTGTCCTTCTTTCCTCTTTTTTGACATGGTCAAATATTCTCTCTTCTCAGGCTCTGTTCCACTCCCCCTGAAAACTGCAGTTATCACACCCCTTCTCAAAATACCCACCCTCAATCCCTCTAATCTCTCAAACTATCATTCTATTTCCAACCTACCCTTCCTTGCCAAAGTCCTGGAATGTATTGTTGCAGGTCAACTTCGGACACACCTCTCCCTCCATTCCCTCCTCGAGCCACTGCAGTCTAGTTTTCACCCTGCCCACAGAACAGAGACAGCACTTGTCAAAGTCACAAACAATGTCCTCTCTGTCTGTGACCAGGGCTTCCTCTGCCTCCTCATGCTCCTGGATCTCTCTTTCGCGTTTGACTCAGTAGACAATGCCATCCTCCTCCACCACCTCTCCTCCCTCATCCACCTTAGTGGGACTGCACTCGTAAGGTTCGAGTCCTACTTAACCAACCTCCACTTCATACCTGCAAATGGTTTCTCCTCCCGCCCTGACCTGGTCACCTGCAGGGTACCCCAGAGCTCCATCCTTGGCCCACTTCTTTGCTTTATATATATGCTCCCTCTGAGCAATGTCATCCACAGACATGGAGTAACCTTGCACATAAATACAGATGAGACACAAATCTACTTGGCCTCCTCCAGTACCAACTCCAGGTCCGCCAATTTTCTATCAGCTTCTCTGGCAGACATCATGGGCTGGTGATAGCAAATTTCCTTCATCTA